CCTCATTTTTTTCGAGGTAACTTCTCTAACTCCTTTTCTTGATGTTTAAATGGCCCCCTTACCTGAACTTTCCTCCTTCAATCTTTATTCTTTGAGTTAATCCAAAAAACTTCACATAAAAAATACTATCCATTATGATTAATATGTGATTGATATATTTTTAAAGAAAATCAGTCAAATTTCATATCTCGGTTATTTAATTGTTACATCTAAATATTTTCATCAATTTATTTACATTAGGTTTTAAATTCTTAAATTTTATTCACGCAATTAAGAATTTGGGGTAGGTTTTTGAGAAGTGAAACAATTTGAAAGGTTGAGACCGGAGAAAGTTAATGAAATTTAAAGAATTTTATAGAAAACGAAGTTAGAAATTCGAAGAGAGGAAATTTTGATTTTTTAAAATGTTTTATTTTAGATAAAACATAATGTTTTGAGTGTTATGTTTGGAGTAAAAAATAGATGGACATGCATTACTAGAAAAGTGTCATTTTTTTTGCAAATTTTTCTAAAAAAAATATTCGCATTTTTTTTTGCAAATTTTCTTGTAATAATAATTTTACAAATTTATTTGCGAAAAATAATTTATAAAAATTTCTTACAAATTTTCTTTAGAAAAATAATCCACAATTTTATTTTTTTTGCAAATTTTGCTACAATTTTCATGATCATAGAAATTTTTTTCCATGATAAAAATTTGTAAAAAATGTTGTAAGAATTTTATCTTGTTTCTTGCAAATTTTATTGTAAAAATAAATTTGTAAGTAATGTTTACTAAATGGTAGAAAAATTTCTGAGATAACTTTTCTTGCAAATTTTCCTGCCAATTTTAATTGGCAAGAAAAATAAAAAATAAATATAAATTTATAAGTTTAAGAATTAAAAGATTTACCTCAAGTCCTACATCGATTAGAAATAAAAAAAATTAAAGAGTATATAAGTTGGGGCAACTTTCACCTTACAAGTTGATTTTATATGGTTGAGTGTTAGACCTATAATTTTGATTTTTTTTCTTGCAGGAAATTTCACAGGAAATTTTCCTGCGAATTTTTTTCGTATGAAACTTTCTTGCGAATTTTTTTCCAAGAAAACTTTCCTGCGAATTTTTTTCACAGGAAAATTTCTTGCGAATTTTAAATTTGTAAAAACATATTATCCACGAAGATATTACCTAGAGATAAAATTTTGCAAAAAAAATTTGTAGGAACAACGTTTCCTACGAATTTTTATAAAAAATTCGTAGAAAAATTGCATGTAATAAGAGAAATTTGAGTAGTGATGATTTAGTTCGGTCATTTTATGAAAATTTTAATAAGTAAATGAAAATTTGAAGGTGTTAAGTTAAGAAGGATAAAACATAAAACAATGTTAATATTGTAACAATTAAAAATTAAGTAATAAATTTATGAAAAAATAATTAAGAATCAAAATTATAAATTAGTTATAAGAGAAAAATGAAAAATATATTTAAACTATTTTTTTATTTATTAAAATTATAATGACAACATTAAAGTTCAAGTTCAAATGTAAGACTGTATGCGTACTATCCTAATCACACACTACAAAAAAATATTATATATAGTGATATACAAAAATATTACTTTAAATATAATATATATAAGTATAAATTTATTGACATATAATTATATATAAATTTAATATTAATTTTAAATGAAATTAAATAATATAATATTATATGTTATTATAATCTATATTTACATGTTTTAACATTTTATATATATATATATATATATATATATATATATTAAAGGACGGAG